ATAGCAGGGCTGTGCTCCCAGATCTCGAGGCCTGTGCCTTGAGTCAACCAAGGGGCTGCAAAAGGCCCCACGCAGCAGCCCTGACTGCCCCTGACTCTCCAGGCACCATGGGATCTGCTGGATCACATGGCCCAGGGGCAGAGTAGCCTGTGTGGCAGCCTCGACCTATTGCAGAGCCTTCTCTTATTCTGGGCCCAGCTCAAAACTAGCAGCTTTCCAGTTCACCGCATAAATGGGCCAGAGCCATTACCAAAATGAGCAATACGTTGCCTCCAAAATGGAAAGAGGCACAGGGTGTTGTGCCTTTTCTGGTGGAAGGAGGGGCCAGATGCAGAAAATTATCTGTCACCTTGGAAGGGACATCTTGACGTGCCCTAGACCACCAGCCTCCCAGATATATCACTGAGGTAGAGGCCCGTGAATTTTGTTGGATTTATTTCCCACCCTCTGACACACACACATCTTACCAATAAGTCTAGAATACTGCTGCTACTTGCTTATTGTGTCCAATTAGCATATCATTGACGTAGTGAGCGAGTGTGATGTCTTGTAGAAGGAAAGACAAGATCCCTGTGAACTAAATTGTGACATGTTCTGGAGAGCTGATACACTGCCGAGGTTGGATGGTGCAAGTGTATTGCTGGTCCTGCCTGCCGAAAGCAGACTGCTTCTGGTGGTCTTCACTAGTAGGCGTGGAGGAAAAAGCACTTCCTGGATCAAAAGCTGCATGCCAACTACTAGGGTCTGTGTTATTATGCTCAAACAGTGAAACATCTAGAAAGCAGCACCTGGTTAAGCTTACGATAATTCACTGTCATTTTTCAAGATACATTTTGGGCCCCCAGCACATTCTTCCTCTTGTACTGTAGACCCCACTGCTGAGACATCATTGGGCAAATGGCTGCTTTGCTTTTTCCAGAGTCCTATCCTCAGAGCACAGGGCACAGGCAGTTTAACGACTCATCACACAGGTATAGCCACAGAAGTGCCCAGTGCACGCATGACCTGAGAATGTGCCTCCCACTGGGACAGGCTGCCTTTTCCAAGTGGCCCCCTCCCTTTTTTTTATCCTCACCCAAGGACATTTTTGATATTTTGTTCAGATTGAGTAGGAGGGAGGGAGAGAGGGGGAGAGAGAGAGAGAGAAACATCGACATGAAAAGGACACTACGAGTGGTTGCCACCCACACGACCCAACCAGGGCCAGGGACAAACTGCAACCGAGGTACGTGCCCCTTAGCGGAAACCAAGCTCGGGTCTCTCCAGACGGCAGGCCGATGCTCTAACCACTGAGCCAAACCAGCCAGGGCTCAATAGGGCCCCATTTTAAAGTCCTTGTCACATGAGCTCTTGGTATGTGCGGAGGCATTTTAAGTATAATCTCACTGAACTTGTGTTCATCACATCATGGAAGACTACTGCTATCCTCATTTCACAGAGGAGAAAGCAGGCTCAAAAAGTAAAACTTTTGCAAGGTCTCTGAATCCGTCTGACCTTAGTGCCCTTAACCACTAGCCCCTTCCCACATAGGTGCTAAGTGTGCTGGCTCTGTGGGCTGGGGGCTGGCAGAGGGGTGGGGCAGGGGTCACTCCAGTGGAGCCTTAGAGGTAATCTCAGCACTTTTTCCATCTCCAAATCCACAGTCTGATGCTGACCTTACAGCAGCCTCCCAACCCCCCTGTGCTTTGTAAAGGCCTCTGCTCACACAAGTTTAAATGAGTTCTGCTGTTTTAACTGAGAGCTTCACCTGGGTGGAGCACTTTCAAGGTTGTCCCTGTGGCTCACTGACTGCCCTGGATGCGCCTCCTGAGAGGAAGGGTTCTGTGCCTAGAGGGAGAGGGAGCAGGCAGGCAGCCAGGCCATTCCCCTCAGTCCTGGGTGCAGGCCCTGCTGCTCTGCTCAGAAGCTAGGTTGTGGGGCAGGAGGGACAGGGGCATGGATGGGGCCAGGACTAGGGCAATGGCCCTGCAATGAAGAGTCTGTGTGGACTGTAATCAGTAGTCCTATAAATACAGCTTGGAAGAATTATGCAAGAATTTCTGTTGGATACATTCCTAGGCTCAGTACTGCTAGGTAAAGATATGTACCCATGTACCTGTGGGACTTTGTGGGTCCTGTGAGCTATTCTCCCAGAGACGAGTGTCTCTCCAGGGGATATGGTGGGGCCACTGCTTCCTCACATTGTCCCCATGGCTGGTTGTCACCAGACATAAAACCTGCTAGTGATGGTGACACATGCTATCTCACAGTGTGTCCTCAGCAGGGAGGTGGCCATCTCTGGAGGTGGCACTGCTTCTCATTTGCACAACGTATATTTGTTTCTAATCCCTTTTTAAAAGTGCTTTTTAAAAAAACCTCACCTGATGATACTTCTCCATTTATCTTCAGACAGAGTATGAGGGAGAGAGAGAGAAAGAGAGAGAGAGAGAGAGCCCTGGCTGGTTTGACTCAGCGGTTAGAGAGAGATAGATCAATGTGAGAGGGACACATCGAGTGGTTGTCTCCTGCATGACTCCGACCAAGGCCAGGGACAAACTGCAACCAAGGTACGTGCCCACAACCAGAATCAAACTCATGAATCTGTGATGCGAGGGCCTATGCACCAACCGCTGAGCCAAACTGGCCAGGGCTAAAAGAGTGCTTTTTGAGAGTTTGGTACCACTGGGATGTGAAAGTTTTCCCTGGCCTCAGGGTCTGAGAAATGCTGTTCTAGTTTCCATTTGTCTTTCCATTGGTGATATTTTCCTTGTTTTCAGATGGCCACAAAAGAGCCAGCTGTTTCTTATGGCTGCTGGCTCTCAGTGACACTTAGAACAACGGTTTTCACCCCAAGATTTTGAACATATCTATAATCTTTTTTTTTTTTCATCTTGAATTTCTCTTGTAAATAAAAAGTGCTCTTTTAAATTTTAAGAAAAGCAAAAATGAATTATCTTGAAATATGTAGGCAGACATAAAAAGCCACATAGTGTGATTTTATTTATGTGAATAATCCATACTAGGTAAAGAACTAGACAAAACAGGTTAGCTACTGATGGGGGCTCGGGGAAGGCAGTGACCATTGGGTATGGGTTTTCCTTTTGAAGAGATGAAAACAGTCTAGTGGGACTGGCCGATGCCCCCAACTGGAAGAGAAGCCCAGAAGGGTGGGGATTTTAGTTTGCTACATTCATTGAACTATGCCGAGTGCCTACAAAGGTGCTTGCACACAGTAGGCACTTAATATATCTATTGTGGACAGAATGAACATTCTTAGCTATCTAAGTACCCGAGGCCCCTCAGTGAGCCCCCAAGAGTCCCTGCTCTGGCTACACCCAGGACAGGGGACCACCCAGACAGAATGTGACCGCTCCTTTACAAATGGGAAACAGCTTTTCCCACGGCCACAGAATAAGTGAGGCTTGAGGCAGAGAGCTTCTTCATGGGGGAGAGAAAATCAAATAAAACCACAGCCTCGGCAGCCCTTTGCACAGTGCCAGGCACAGGGCCAGTACTCTCCATGGCATGTCCCATTGGTCCTGACAAGAATGCTCTGAGTTTGGTCCTCATAGCACCCCAGTTTTCACAAGAGCTGACTGAGGCTGAGGAGCGAAGTGACATTCCCAAGACTCACAGCTAGGAGGTGGCAGAGTAACCACTGTGCTGTAGTTGGAGAGGAGCACCCATCTTTCCCACAGCAGACCTGTGACCTGTTGGGTGCTGGAGAAGTTTCAGGGATAGACAAGGAGGCAGGGACAGTGTCCTGCTCTGGAGGCAGACACCAGGTGCTCTACCAGCTTCTTCAGTGTGCCTGCCTTCACGGTCCCCACCCTGCAAGTCTCATCCAGGTTCAGGGACGACTTATTTTCACACTGGAGTAGGACAAAAGAGGGGCAGGTCACACAATATGAACAGTAGCAAACGCAAAAATCTTGTGGCCATTTGTGAAGTGGAAGTAGTATATAAAGAATTTTCTGATAGTCCCACAAGTAAAAAGTAATTTTCCTCTTTTCACAGTAGCGGAATGAATCAATGAGAGGATCTCGCAGACCTCTCCAGCCTCTAAACAGCTCACATCATCATGCAGATGGAGGCTGCCAATAAAGGGTACAAATTGGGTCAGAGGTAGGGGCAAGTCCAGAATGACTGACCCCTTCCCTGCTCCTGGTGCTCCATTGAGCACAGTGGGCACAGCCGCCCCTGGCGGTCAGCCGCAGCACTGCAGCCGCAGACAGGAAACACACCCCCTTTTGGGCTCACCCTGGCAGTGGGGCTCTCTGGCCCCATGGGGGAAAGGGACAGGACCTGCGGGCTCCATGTCCCCAGGTTTCCATCTGTTGTCCTGGGTGCCCAGTTCCTTCTCGAAGCCTCCTCACCCCAGCCTGGGCAATGCCTCTGCCCACTTTCACCTGAGGACCTGAGGTCCAGCAAGGGTGGTCTGGCCCCTGTTACCAGAGGAGCAGTCTGGTGCCTGCTGTGGCCTCCAGGCCGCCCCCTGTCCCAAGGACTTAAGTGGGTAGAAGGCATTTACTGGGCTCAGCGCAACGGGTCCTCCACAGAGAACAAAGCACAACACACTCTCCTATGAACCTGTGGGATCCCCGGCCTAAGCACAACAGCTGTGGAGGAGGAATCAGGCCTCCTCTCCTTACCCTGGAGGCCCCTCCCCATGGGGGGGGGGGGTCGGAGCTTACCCGAGCCCCTAGCGCCCCTAGCTGTGCACACAGCTCCCTAGACCCCATCCTCTCCAGGCTGCCCTGGGGGGTGGCGCTGTGGACCCTGGGACCCTGAGAACCCCAGCCCATCAGCTTGGTCTCGCGCCCCTCCGGGTGCAGGGCGCCTCTTGTGCGATGCTAGGAGACCGGATCCGCCAGGACCTCAGTGCCCAGCGCGCGCACCCTGATTCCCAACGTCCTACGACTTTCTCCAGAGATGTGGGCGTGCTCACTGGCCCACGCGGCACCTTCAGCTAAACCGCCAGCTCCCAGCCACCAGCCAGTTCCCGCTGCCCCCCAGTGGAGATGTCCAAGGCTGAGTCGCCAGCCCGTCGGGAGCCCGCCGCGGAGGCTTACCTGCAGGCAGCGAGGCAGCCACAGAAGCAGGGTCGAAGCAGGGCAAAGATACCAAAGATACCGGTTCTGGGCCTGGGCACCTGGAAGGTGAGGGGGCCTCGCGGTGGGGGAGGGGCGGCACCTTTTCTTACCTTCCCTTGTCCTGATGTGGAGGGGCCACCCGCAGGGACAACCCCAGGGACCCCTGCAGCAGCATTAGCCAGCCCCGCTAGTCCTGTACCTCCCTGGGAGGCTCCCTGTGTTTGAAAGATTCCATCTTTACATCGCAGATTATCTGAAAGTGGGGGTTGTTGTCTCTATGATATTTCATATCGAAGCCAAATCATATTATCCAGAAATAATGTTTGGGAAAACCCAGGAGAAAAGGTTGTCAGACAGAAAGAGTGGCAGTCACCTAACCAGATAAAACAGCAGACAACTGTTAACTGAAACACATTCTATCAAAAAGATAAAATTCTGCCATTACTAACTTGGTTTTAAACAGAAAATTTTCGTCCCCTGTGTAAAAACCTGAGGGTGGAAGCACTTGGAACTTTGGAACTTTCTCTACTTTGGATGTCTGACCCCTGTCACTGCTTTGAGACTTAAACTAAACTTTCCAATTTGCATTAATTTTTTAAAAAATTTAGTCTTTGATAAAAAGATGTTCCTCTGAGATGTCATATAGGAAGTTATTATTGGAGGGGTAGGAATTAGAATGACCAACCCCATTTAGCTAAATATTATTTAGATTATTTCCTCTATCCACTTAACAACTCTTAGAGGCCAAGGATGTGGTTTCCCTCCTTGCAACTGTTCCCAGCATCTCTCCAAGGCCATGCACTGAGCAGCCGCTCAATAAGCACTTGATGGATTTAACTCTAGACTTTCTTGCCTTTCATTCTTTTATGCACTAAGTCTTCTGCACACGGCTGGGTGTGGGAGTCCACATGTACGTGCACAGGGTAAGGAAAAGCTGTGAAAACTGTGCTTAGGAGACCCAAACATTCCTCTTTGTCGTTGTTGGACTGCAGAGGCATGAAACTGCATTAATCCTGATCACCCTTCCCGATCCATGCAAAGCCTCCATTTCATTACTTCTAATCATGTAAGATTACAAATCTACTGTCACAATCTGTTGCACAACCAACCAACCACAACAGCCGGGGGGCTTACAAGCATGTGGTTATTACTGCTGTAGGTGGTCCCCTGGGCAACTACTTGGATCTTGTTCATTTTGCAGGAGGCTCCAGGGGCAGTGAGAGAGGCAGTGAAAGTGGCAATAGATGTGGGTTATCGGCACTTTGCGCGTACCTGTACTACAATGAGAGTGAGGTTGGAGCTGGGATCAAGTACAAGGTCAGGGAGGGCGTGGTTCGGCGAGAGGACCTGTTCATCGTCAGTAAGGTAGGACTGCAGGGAGAGCAGGAGCAGTTTGCTCAGGGTGATGAGACAGCTGACACAGAACACGGATCGTTTTCCATGTTCCCATAGAGCTGGTGACTTCATTCGTACTTGAACCTGACCTGACAAGGACTTCTGCAGCTTTGTGCTTTTCTTGGGAGTGGTGCAGGTGAGGGCATTGGGGAGTGTAAGAAGCAGAGGGGACACCTAGAGCATGAGGCATGGGACAGTGTGTGGAGTACAGAGACCTGTGAGAAGTGAAACTGGAGCTGGATGAGCCTGATCTCGAAGACCTGAACACCGTTGAAGGAGTTCTCTTTTCCCACAAAGGAGCACCGCCGAAGGTTTTATCTTCTCTAGGAGCATGAGTTGTGCTGTTTATAGGAGATTGTGGACGTGAAAGCAACATGAGTTTAAACAGGAGGCAGAAGGCAGGAGACCTTAACAGCAGTGTAGGTGGGAGAACTTAGCACTAGACAGGTGGCAAGAAAATGACGAGGACAGTCAGGAGGTGGGCCCTGTAGGAAACGCTGGCAGCAGACCAAATAGAGTATCAAGGAATTCCTTTGCTTTTGAAGAAGAATGTTAACGCCATTAGGCCAAGAACCAAGAATTCACGTTCCAGCTGTCCTTCCTGAGCTAGGAGAGGCTGGCTCAGGTCCCAGCTTCGTGTATAAGATGAGACTCTGGGTTTTACAATCTTGAGTAATTTCCATAATTGAAAGATTCAGTGCTGTTCCTATAGTCGATTTGCTTTTATGTGTTGCCTGGATAAAATTTCTGTAATTCATCAATGCTGGAAAAGGAGAGATCCAGGTGTGACCTTGGCCAAAGAACCAAAATCTCTTCTGATCCTCAAGGTAGGGAGGTAGGTACCTGGTGCTTCAGGGGCTAGTCCTGTGACTGCGGGACAGGATGGTCCCAGCTGGATCATAGGCAGCAGAGGATGTGTGCTCTTTATTCCTGAAATTTAGAAAAGTCTTAGAAATACAATTTAAAAAATAAATAAATCACTGATACACTCACCATCTAGAAAGTGCTATTGTTAACATATGATGTATTCTAGTTTCTTTTTTGTAAATATTCTGTTTGTAGTCTGGTTTCATATGTTTTAATCCTCTTTCTTTTACTTATTTATTTTTATTTTTGCTCTTGCTATGATGGTGCCTCTGTCACAGTTAATACTAAATACTGTAATAAAGGAAATAAGGAGGGAAAAGCAAATTACACACTTGGAACTTCACAGAGGGTGTGGGTGGAAATACTCATTACATACAAGGTGGTGTGTGCTCACTGACTCACCTTGCTTAACCTGCAGGATCGTGAGGCCTTAGTAACAGAGAACATTGACCATGGAGTCTGTTCAAGTGGGAAACTCAGTATAGAAATTCTTCTGACTTTTCCTCATAGCTTCTCTGCCTGTGGGTGTTTCCTTTGGTCCCAGTGGATCCAAATAACCAGATAGCCTTCCCATCAAATAATTTCATGGTGTCCCCAACTTCCTCAGGGGAAATCCAGCAGAGGGAGCTGAGCTTTGGAAGCCCCTCCCTGTGGGAGTCCTGGACCATGGCAGGATAACGTCACTGCCCCATTGTATTTATGGCCACCTGGTCTTGGATGTTGTCTTCCAGAGCCTGTATTTGTGGGGCCCCGGGGCAAACGCTGTGCCCACACTGTCTCTGCGGCTGACTGTCAGCACTTGTCTCTGTGCAGCTCTGGTGCACCTACCACAAGAAGTCTTTGGTGAGACCAGCCTGCTCCAAGACTCTGAAGGCCTTGGATTTGGAGTACTTGGACCTCTACCTCATACACTGGCCCATGGGTTTCAAGGTACTGCCCAGGCCTGGTGAGATCCCCACTGGCAGCCTTCTTTCCTGGTCATCATGCCGTAGTGGGTGGTGGAAAGAACTGAGCCAGCAGCCATGGGTTCCAGGGCTGTGTCACAAAACACACATGTTCAGTTATTTCTGGGCCCCAGCTCAGGAGAGCCTTGGGCTTGAGGACCTCTAACCTACTACAGTTTTTGCTTCTAAGCCAGTCATTTCTTCTCCAAGCCAAGAGAGCAGCCCACTTTTTCCATAGGTCTTTAGGTGAAAGCAGGTATCAGACAGAGGACATACTACTGTTCATGTCACCGCCCATGTCCCAGGGAATTCCTTGACCCTGTCTCTTCATGCAAGTGATGTTCTCTTTGGGGAGTGATGTCTGTTCTGTGATATGGGAGACGTCTGCTTATCCACCTGCCGCAGGTCCAGAGGGTCCTGGAGAGGGATCATTTTTTCATTTGGTGTTATTCTCCTCACTGGATTGCATCTCATGCCCCACCACACACACACACACGCACACACACACACGCACACACGCACACACACACCCTGCTCAATCACTTTCCAGCCTGCCTCATGTGAGTCCTGGCCAGGGTGTCCCTGTGCGCCTGCCCCAGACCGAGATGACAGCCTGCCTGACCAAGGGTTCCATCACACAGGTGGCACTGGGGGCCCTGATAGGATGCTCCCCCTACACTGGAGTGAATGGTGGCTGCACAGGTGTCTCCCACTTGTGTACCTTGTTTGAGGAGCCCACCCTGGGTGCCGAGCTCTTGGGTTTCTTTTTAGATTAGAGGACAAAAACCACTTCATTCCTAGTACAGCTTTCCTTTCAGGCTTTGTATTCAGCTTCAATAAAGCATGTAGCAACTGCACATCAGTCACACTGGTGGAGAACAGAAGATGCGAAATGAGGGAGAATGACGCAGAAATGATTTCCATCTGTGAACTCGTGCCCCTGAAGGATAAGGCATGAAGTAATGGCAATAGTTATGTCACACTTCCTGTCAGCCGCTAGTGTTGTTTTAACACCGGACCGAGCACTCTTTTAGGAACTTCACATGAACTGTTCATTTAATCCCCACAGCAGTTCTGTGAGGGGGACTGTCAGCATCCCCACTGCACAGAGGGTGCAGCCAAGGTGCAGACAGATTCAGTAGGATGGTTGGGGCCCAGAAGCTGCGGCTCAGGTCAGACGTGTGTTACTCTGCAGCCCTCACCTTCGAGCAGACCCCTGCAGTGGCTGTCTGGGTGGCCAGCAGTCTTCAAGGACGAGGCTCGATAGTGCTTGTACAGAGGTCGAGAACTATGTAAACAGGGGAGGTGGTTTTGACATGGGACAGTTAGTTGCTTGATCATGAAAAATTTCTGTAGAATGTGCATCAGGCTGCAATTTTAGATGTTCCTCCCATTGTTGCTTAAGAGAATGATTAGGTGTCATTGAATAAGCATTTGCCATACACCATTCACCCAGTGACAGGTGACACAGAGCTGTGTGTGGTGGGTCAGGTGGACTGAGCGCCAGTACCTGCTGGGGTCCTAAGGGACACCCTTGTTCCCTGTCGAGCTCTCTCTCTGCGCTGCTCCTCCTGAGCTCCTCTGTCTTCTGGCGTCAGTATCTCTTGCCATGAAGGGGACTCTAGGAGAAGCAGGGAAGAACCTCACAGTGGACTTGGGAGAGTCAGTTGGGCACTTAAGATGAGAAAGCAAACCCCTTTCCCTCTTTTTCGCCTGAAATTGCTAAATAATGTTCTGACAACGGGAGAGGATTCCAGGTCGTCCTTTCCTGACATGTGAGAGGTAGGTGGTGAACTTCCAGGCTGGTGGGCACTTTGCTGGCCACCCAGTCCACCCAAACCTTGCTCTTGTGAAGGAGAAGGTGGGTCCTGGGGAAGGAAAGTCCCATGGCTTCGTGTGAGGGCTCTGCTTGGACCCAGGCGTTCTGGCCCAGAGTCCAGCATTATTCCCCTGCATTTTGATTCTCCCTCCATCCAGTCTCCTCTTTAGGGGTGATCACCCCCCAGCCCTCCATAAGCTCCTTTCTCCTGGTTCTTACAGCCCGGGGAAATAGATGTGCCCTTTGACCGCAGTGGCATGGTGATACCAAGTAACACCAATTTCCTCGACACGTGGGAGGTAAGCTGAGCTCGCCAGTGGCGCCTTCATCCTCCCGCTGGGCCTCCGAATGGGAAGCTGTGAGGTCCTGAGCTCCCTGTGTGCAGAGACACTGGGTTGTCTCTTCCAAATGCAGGAGTGCAGTGTACACTGGGACAGGGCACCTGGCTGCGGGACTCGGAGACCTGTTTCCTCTTGTTCATCTCTCTGAAATGTGTATTTCAGGGATAACAAATCCAGATGTCCCTTTATTCTTAAATTCTTAAATGTTTATGTTCTTATTAAAAAGTATCACATGGTCATTACAGAAACTACAGAGTATAAAAGGAAAATTAAAAGTTCATTTTCCATGGTTACTTCTAGTATTTTATAGTTCCTTTAGCTCTTTTGTAAGCATTTCAGAATGAAAACTTTGGCAGATGGTGAAGTTGGGGTGGGTCAGGGAGATGCATGGAGGAAGGGACCATGTTCCCAGTCTCCTGCCAGTGTCCAGACGACAAGTGATGAGGCCTGAAGTAGTGTTGAGCATGGGAGTCAGGAAGTGACAGGTTGAGAGGGTGGCAGTGAATTGATGGTGTGACAGGAGGTTCCTTCTGACTCTGGCCTCTAGCCCAGCCTACTGGGCACCTGTAATCTTGCAAATCAACATGAGGGTGAGTGTGAGGCACGGGATGAAAGCAGGTTCTCGTTGGAACTTGCCCGGTTTAGGGAAATGAGACTGGAGCCATTGGGTGAGGTGGACAGGTGCAGGCGTGGGAGTACTGACGTCATCCAGGCAGAGGGGGAGGGGAGCATCATCAGGGAGAAGCGCTGGGCCAGGCCACGCTCTAAACGAGGTGTCTGATCTGTTGGGAACAGCGTCGGGGGTCCCCAACCCTTCTGTCACAGACACTGCTTCTTTTGAAGGACATGGGTGGAGCTCTGCTGTTCATAGCACGAGTGAGATCTGGGTGATTGTGCAGAGCACACCGACTCTGGCTACCAGCCCCATGGCCGCTAGGACTTGTGCTGACAACTTAACCTGGGACCAGGCCATGCTCTCCCTGAAGCTGGGCCCAGTCCCAATTGCTGGGCAGTGAACAGCACAGAGCTTGGGGTTTGTCCCCTCAAGACCCTTAACAAGGTGGTGGACTAGAATGATGACACATCATTGTGCTGGGGATGATAAGGTAGAAACTGGTGAGCAGATAGCGTCAACAGTGGCCATCCTTGCCAACACCATGTCGACAGCCATTCAGGGAAACAGAAATCGTAGGTACATGCACCGAGTGTTAGTTAAATGCTTTGTGTTCATTATTTGCTGGGAACCTTAACCTTGTGACATGGACAACATTGTCCCCATTTGGCATATGGGGAAATTGAGGCTTAGTGAAGTCACATCATGTGCCCACAGCTACCAAATGATGGAGCTGGGAGTAAACCTCAAGTGCAGAAATGATTATAACACATTAAGTAAAATATTTTAGGATATTGGGTGGAGCCAGTTTTAGGATACTGTGCAAAGTAGTGGGGGCCATGAATTACCAGTGGAGCAGACAGAGCCCACGCACCCAAAATAATTCTTGTTTTCTTTAGGCCATGGAGGACCTGGTGACTGCAGGGCTGGTGAAAGCCATTGGCGTGTCCAACTTCAATCATGAACAGCTGGAGAGAATTTTGACAAAACCCAACTTGAGGGTCAGGCCACTGACTAACCAGGTGAGCTGTGGATGGCTAAGCAGCTTGAAAGGGTGGAGTCAGCTTTTCAGCTGTTACCTCCATGTGGCTACACTGGAAACCCAATGGGGTGGAGCACGACATAGGCACTTTCTCCAGCAGCTGTCAAAAATCGTGACTACGGAGCAGTTAGACAAATGATGGGTAGACAGGCGAGACCTTTTAAAATGCTCATCTGGTGAGGTGGTGTCCTTGAAAGTCAGGGCATAAGCTGAGCTTGTTGTCCCCATGCAGCCATAGGGTGAATCACCAGGTATGTTTAGAAGTGGAAAAGGGTCTGGCAGGTGCTTAACCCTCATTAATGATGGTGAGAGGTGGTGCTGCGTCCCTGGGGACTCACCAGGGACCCCTCTCCCCTCCCCAGCCAGAGCAGATTGCAGCCTGAAATAGATGGACGACCAAAAGGTTCACAGGCTCTGCTCAGATGCAGTGCTGAGAAATGACTTGTAAGGACAGGGTTACAGTGCTTCCTAGAATGGCTGCTTTTGTATGTAGAAAGGGCATTTATTTTACTTAGAATTTTTATTAGCATGTTATGTACATGCAAAAAGGTGCACACATAAGAATAGAGCTTGATAAATTCTTGTAATTGGACCTAGCTCTGGACCAGCACCCAGTGGAAGAAACACCATGGCCAGTGCCCTACAAGCCCCCACCCTGCTGCTTTCTCGTGCCAGCTCCCCAGACGCCACAGTCCGACTTCAACAGCCCAGATTAGCCTTTGAACTTTATATAGAAAATATGCCATGTTTGTGCTCTTCTGTGTCGGGCTTTCTTTGCTCAGCACTGTATGTGTTCGATCCTCCCACATTCGAGTGAGCCTGTCGACACATCCTTGATTTTGTGTGGGATTCCATTGTGTAGCTATCCCATCTGTGGGCGATGGGCACATGGGTAGTTTGAGTGTGGAGATATTAAGAATAGAGCATCACATTCTCTTCTTTTTATAAGTACACTTGTAAATGAAGGTATGACTTAGATACAGAAAAGTGCACAAATCTTAAAGGACTCGGCTGACTTAATGGACACAGCTCAGTGAATTTCCACAGGTGAATGTACTCACGTCTTCAGCACCCAGAGCAAGAGCCAGAATGTCCTCAGCCTTCTGGAAGCTCTTCGGGTCACCACCCATGAGGAGTGGCCAGAGTTGCTGAGCTCCCCTGCTTTTAACCCTCACACACAGCCTTCTGTGGGTAACCGCTCCGGTTCTGCGTCGCATTTTGTTGAGTGGCCCTTTAAGTCATGGGGAGGGGTGTCGCCTAGTCTGTGGGGTGAGGAGGGGCTGCAGGATCTGTTTCCTAGATAGGGTGGGGAACTACCAGCCCTGTGTCCTCAGAGGAGTCTTCAGAAGACCCTGAAGCTCTGCCTGCCAGTCCTGAGAGCCTGCACCTCGTGGGCACTGTCCATGGTCCTGGACTCACTCTAAACTAAGTCTCTTTTTTTTATTTGTTGACAGTATTACAGATGTCGCCCATTTTCTTCCTTTTTCCCCCCTCCACCCAATGCAGCCCCACCCCAGGCCTTTCCCATACTATTGTCTGTGTCCTTGGGTTATGCATATTTGTTCTTTGGTTAATCTCTTCCTGTCACACCCTTACCCCCCCCTCCCCCAGCTGTTCTTCTGTTCCATGCATCCATACCTCTGGCATTAATTTGTTCGTCAGTTCATTTTGTTCATTAGATTCCACATATAAGAGAGATCATATGATATTTGTTTTTATCTAACTGGCTTATCTTGCTTAGATGGTATTTATTTTAAGTTCACTGATGACCTGGAATCCAACATGAGAACTTACAGTGTTGAAGACACAGGAATGTGCTCTCCAGTTTCTTTCTTTCTTTTTTATCCTTGCCTAAGGATATTTTTGCATTTATTGTCAGATAGAGCCAGAGGGAGAGAGGGAGGAAGAGAGAGAGAGAAACATCGATGTGAGAGAGACACATTGACTAGTTGCCACACACACAACCCCAACCAGGGCCAGAGACAAACTGCAACTGAGGTACATGCCCTTAGCAGGAACCGAACCCGGGTCTCTCTGGTACGCAGGCTGACGCTCTAACTGCTGAGTCAAACCGGCCAGGGCATGCTCTCGAGTTTCTTAAACTGACCCTTGGAGTTGCCTGTGGCATGTGTATGTCACATGTAACTCTCCAGCTTCATTCACTCAGCACTCGCTGAGCACCTGCTGTATGCCTACCTTATTCTAGAGGTTGAGGGGATGTCATGAACAAAAAAAGTCAGACCCAGATCCCTGCCTTCATGGAGGTTATGCCCTAGTGGCAACAGATAGACAATCGCAAAGAATGACAGTATATAATGTGTCAGCTAATGATCTGCTACATGCAAGGTAAAGGGGAGGAGGAGGGGGGAGGGCCACACCTTTACCTCAGTGGTCAGGGAGCCGGGATTCTTGAGCGTTCAGGTGGCACAGGTGTTCCTCAAGCTGGTGTACAGCGAGAAGCCTCTTGGAGACCTCACGTCCCAGCCTTTTACTTCACAGGGGTGGACACTCGTGCCTGGAGGTGGGTCCCCTGACTCATCGGTGATGCAGCCAGGATGTTGACATAGGTCCTCTTTCTAGAGTCCCGTTATTCTGCATGTTCTTTGCTCAGCTGTGAGTCTCTTTGTAGATCGAGTGCCACCCATACCTCACTCAGAGGAACCTGATCAGCTTCTGCCAGTCCAGAGATGTGTCCGTGATTGCCTACCAGCCCCTTGGGGGTTCCAGGTAGGGGTTTGTGGCCTGAAATTGACCCACACTCCAGTTTCATTTGCACAGTTAGCAGAGGGTTTGAGGTGGGCAGGGTGTGGAGACCGCGGGCACCCGGCAGGAGGAATGGTCAGTGACCCTGTCAGTGAGCTGAGGGAGGAGCTGGTGCTGAAAGCAGAGGAGTCACCTTCAGTGGTGCCTCAAGAAGGGCAGCGATGTTTAAGGGATACAGCCAGCAGGCAGCATCCTCTGCTGATCTCTTCCCTGGTACGTCCAGCGCTCTGTGAGACCTCTCTGGACGGGTCACAGACATCCTGACCTCTGTAGAATTGTCTTCCCAGAACCTGAAATGTGTACTGTGCTCCCTACATCAGTGGATGAGCCATCCACTCTGCCACATGGGCCACAGACGTCCTCATTCCAGTCCCCCCAGTCCAACTCATCAGCAAGATGCACTAGTTATTTTGCCAGGAAACTTGGAGTCTCTGTTCTCACCATCACTGCCTTCGTTAAGTACAAATTCTCCCCGGTGATAACAGCAGCCTCTTAACGACTCCCAGGTGTGCCTGGTTCTCAGCCACCTTCCACAAGGCAGCGGAAGGGAGCCATCTCATTATGGTTATGTCACTCTCCTGCTTACAAATCCTTCAATTTCTGGTCTGGCCTCTGCCTATTCCTGCCTCATTTCTTTATGCAAACATGCTATGTGCCAACCATTTGGGATTATGTGGGACTCCTGCTTTCTAGTCTCTGTGCCTTTGCAGATACTGTTCTCTTTACCTAGACATCTTTTTATTATCTTTTTTCTTAGTCTGGCTTACTTCTGTTTCTAATGTAAGGCTCAATTCAGCATCACTTCCCCCAGGAAGCCCTCCTGACTTCCTTTCATTTGTGTTTCATCCACAACCCTTGTCACACTATCTTGTCATTATTTCCTTCTCAGTCTCTCCTGGTTAGAGCTACTTGAGTTGTGGAGACTGCATCTAAGCCATGACTCTTGGGCCTGGGACATATTAGTGACCCAGGAAAGGCTAAAGTTATTTGACTGTTATTGCCTGTGTGTTGCCCATGTGGAATGGGGCACGTGTGTGTGAACTTGGCAGCAGTGAGGGAGTTCCTAGAGGCTTTGTACTCACAACTGAGCTTGGGGTGGAGGAACCCAGTGAGAGAGTGGGTGGTGGGAGCCGTTCGAGAGAAGGGGTGGCTGATGTCCCACACCCCTGGGCAGATGGAATGGGCTCTGTTTGGCCCCTTCACAGATGAGGAGGACTGTTTCTACCCTGGTGCTTGAAACCTAGTAACTGCTATGTGTCTCTCGCACATCGATGTTTCTCTTTCTCTCTTCCTCTCTCCCTTTCACTCTATCTAAAAAGCATGGAAAAATATCCACAGGTGAGGAATGAAAAAAAAATTTACAGCTTTCTAGAATGCTTAGGGCCTGGCCACTGCTGGACAGAAATTGAGGGGCAGACCCACAGTCTCTGCATAAAGGCTCCGCATGTCCACTGTCTCAACTTTCTCTTGGTATTTGAGGTGAACTTTTCTGTGACTGCTATCAATTATCTACTCATGCTGATGGTGCTGTGGACACTGCTCTGAGTCCTACACAAAGAGGTCAGAGGTCCAAGGGGCACACCTTAGACACTCTGATGTTGCTGCCTGGGTCTCCAGACAAAGCACCAAATAGATGTGAAGGCCATGTGTCCAGCTGTGTCCTCCAAAATGCTGACCACGGTTATCTCTCGGTGGTGGATTTGGTGATAAGCTTTTCTGCAGTATTTAGATTTCCCACACTGAGCAAGTGTCACGATCAGACAGAAGTGAAGTAGAGTTTCCCTTTTGGAGAAAGTCTTGTTTCTTTAAAGAAAGAAGCACACATATTTGGCCTCACATCCCTGTGCCATTCTCTCTAGTGGGGGGGTGGACCTGATGGACAATCCGGTGATCCAGACCATTGCACGGAAGCACCATAAGTCTCCAGCTCAGGTAGGATTCGCCCCTGAGCTGGGAGGGCACCTCTCTGCTTGCTCCTGACGCGATGGGCTGGGCAGGGGGAGGCCTCCTCACTCTGGCCCAGATGCTGACTAATGAGAACTGTCCTGTGTTTACCAGCCTCTTGGGGCCGCTATGGTCCTGCTCATTCAGGCCCCAGAGGGATTCTCTGTGCACAGAGCTCCCAGGCCACTGCCCTTAGCCCACCAGCGGAGTGGACACAAAAGGAGTCTATGACTCTCCTCCTTGTTCTGATGTCTAGCCGTTTGGGGGATTGGACACCTTAGTGAATTCTCTAGATGGTCCTCTGAGCTCCTGGGCCAGCAGCCACCCTTCCAGATGTGCTAGTGGGTCAGTGCAGAAGTGTCCTCTGGTCCCTAAGGACCCTGGAGCAGAGCGCATGTAGTGACCGTGCCTGCTGCCCTGGTCCTTGGGCTCCACTGCACAGTGAAATGTGACCCGTAGGGGAAGCGGCTGCTCTCTGACTCCACGTGACTCTCTTTGTCTCATCTTAGACTTCCTTTTATCCTGCAGATTTTGATCCGGTTTCAGATCCAGAGGAACGTGATTGTCGTCCCCAAATCTGTCAACCCGAAACGGATTCTTGAGAATATCCAGGAAGGTGTTTGGGATCATGCGTGAGCTGGGCGGCCACACACGCAGCAACAGGCCCGGCCTGTGTGACTGTGACACAGGAGAGGGGCCAGCGAAGCACAGGCCACACGGGGGGACCCAGAGCTGAGCCCAGAGGCCACCTGCCAGGGCACACAGACAGGGTCAGACAGGGGAAGGACACGTGATGAGGGGCCAGGGAGCCGGCCAGGCCACCTGGACGCCTGCTCTGCACCTAGTACCGCTCACTAACGCTGTCCCCGGGGCTGCCCACCCTGATGGGAGGGACCCTTCCAGACTGTTCACCTCTCCCCTCAATCAAACTGCCCGTGCCCAGCTCTGCCTCCAGCGGAATGCTGCCGTGGAGTCCCTGGTTTCTGCCAGGCGCACGAGGAGGGTCTCTGGAGGGTAGGGGCCAGTCAGGACCCGTCACCACCCGGACAAAGACGGACTCCCCCTGCACCTCCTGCCCGGCCCTCAGCCGCACACGGACACCGCACACACCCTGTCTTTCCAAGGGTTCCTGCTGTAGCCAACGCCAGACAAATGGCCAGAGTCCCAGTGTGTCCTGGGAACTGAGGCCGAGGGTCAGGGAATGTCCCAGGTGTCACATGAAGTGCTTTGTTGCATCATTATGTCCCCCACACACCAGCACAGTGCTCTGCAGGTAACACGTGCTCAGTTAAGCGTTCACTGAACTGAGTTCCCCATGAACATTTTATTTTGTTCCAGGTGTTTGATTTTGAATTAACAGAACAGGATATGAATGACCTCCTCAGGCTGAACAGGAACCTCCGACTGACCATGTTCCCCACGTAAGTACGGCTCCTTCACTGCTTTCAAAAGAGAGGAAGCAGTATTCCGATGGAATGATTGGTTCCTGGATGGGTATTTATCATACACGTTAGGTAATGAACTCTCTTCAGAAGTATTTCCTTGTTTGGGGATGGTCCAGGGAGTGAACCCAAATATGAATTTCGTACATTAGGGAGTATAAAATATGTAATGATGTCATTTAAAATGGTTCTCTTAAAAATAGTAACCCTGCTTTGTTTCTGTTTTTCACTTGTTCCCTGGTTTCCAGAGCTGAAAATCACAAGGACTATCCTTTCCACATAGAGTTCTGAGCTGGCTCCCACTCCCTGCTCCCCTACCGCCCAGACAAATCCAGGGGTCTGAAGAGCTTGTCAGGCCCCGCACAGGGCTGGGAGGGACGGAGGCCGAGCTCCCGAGAAATCCTCAGAAACAACGTGGGCCGAGATCGAAGGAGGCGTCCAGAGCCGGGCTCAGGAAGTCCACGGGCACAGTGTGGCAGGTTCTCCCAGGTACGGAGAGGCCAGCGTGAGGACCTCTGCAGACACCGCTCAGCTCCAGCAGTGAGCACCCCGTCTGCTCCCCCAGATGGTTTACAGAGAGATCCTCACTGCCCACCTGCAAAGAAAGACAGGGTGAGAGTAATGAGCTGTCGGAGTTCAACACAGAAACATTTTTTCTTACTTCAAATCTAAATTTTAATTTTTAAATGCTATTGTCTATGAAGGTCTTCCAGGAAATCAGATTACACCTGTGAAAACACCAAATCAAAGATTAATGTGGTCATTTCCGTTCGTGCACTCGGTGTTCAGTCCAAGACAGTGTATGAGGGACAGGAGGCCCGTCCTCTGAGAAAGGACAGGGTGGGTGACCACCCAGGCTTGTTCGGGGCAGTGGTGACTCCTGTCCCTGTCCATCACTTCCAGCTCAGCCCAGGTGCTCCAGGTCCCCGGGGACCTGCTGCCAGGGCTCCTGGGTGCGTCTGCCCCTCACATCCTGCCCAGCTCCAAGCCCTGCTCGTACACACACCTCCAAGGATGCGACTTCCTTGACCCACCAGTCATTTCTGCTGGCCCCAGGGACTGTGCTCCAGTCCACAGAAGTTCATTACTCCTGGTTGTCGGCCCCGGGCACACCCACCTTGGGCACCACCCACACCCTGGCCCAGGGCCAGGGCTTCCTCAGCCTGAAGTGAAGCTGTGTGGAGGCCCGCCAACCACACACCTGGGTTGTTTTCCACCTGGTTTGCACTGGGTCCACCTGTCTGCCTCCAGTGTGAGTCTGTCCTTCCTGCATCTGTGGTCCTCTCAGGACTCGGTGCAACACCCACCCTCCTCGATGTTCAAGCCTCGGTGCCTAGTCAGGGAGCTGACACGTGGCTCCTGAACCCCCAGGCGGCTGGCAGGAGCAGCAGGACGGCCGGCTTTTCTGTGTCTGCTCCTGAGGCCACAGTCCAGGGATCTCCCACCTACGTGGCCTGGGTGTGACGAGCGTTTGGGTGGAGACCACACTTCCCACCACAGTCAGAGTGCCGGGAACATGTGCCCCAGACTCTACTGTGCAGAGTGAGTGTCCCGGGCACACAGCTGGCTGGAACTGTGGATTCAGCAGCAGACACTGGACCTTGGTCTTTAGCCACAGCCATCTATCTGGGGGACAGATATGGGCACCAACCAAGCCCTGGGTGTCCTCGAGCCCTGAAGGTGAGGCCCTGCATGTCCTGACTCTGCTTTCACTGTGCTTGTCGGCTTGAGTCCTTGGGCTCTCTTGTGGGCTCTCAGAAGAAGGGGCCCACCCCCCCAGACCCCTCTCCTTTCCCGAGGGGCCGAGGAGATGGAGCCTGGGAGTGTTTTCTTTCATCGAGTCTCTTTGGTTTCCAGCTGACCCATGACACCCAGAGGGCATGAACACCATCGTCAGTGACAGGAAAACAAGCTTTCTCTGCTCAGGGACAAGAATAAAGTCTGTGGTTTCCCTCCCTTTGGTCCTGCGTGTGTGACTGCAGAGGCGAGGGTGGCTCTGCTCTGAGTCTGGGTCTTTGTTCCTGAGAGAACGAAGCCTGTGTCTCAGCCCATCCTCAGGCACAGGGGGTTCTCCTTGTCCACGGTGGTTGTTCTACTAAGTCACCGCAAACACAGGACTAGCAGGCTCCGAACCACAGCCTCGAGCCTCTGGTCACAGCATTTTCATCACCCAGTCATACATCACCTGTCCTGTGTGTGTTTCTGTCTAACGACACCTTGTTTTGCATATATAATGTTGGGTCATTAGCCCTGAACTCACAGCCAACATCACTGTAATTCACACCTGGACAGAGCGTATCTAACATGTATTTTCTCCATAAAGAACAGCACAGACTTCTTGCTCTTGGGGCCATTATAAAAGCTGCTATAAAATACCTTATTATGTTATATTTAAAAGGCTCCTTTTTATAAATTGTTAAGTATAAAAAAAATTCTGCACAATTGGCTAATAGAGCATTTTATTAATAATGACAGTGTTTTTCTTTCTTTTTTTTTATCCTCACTGGAGGACATTTTTCCATTTTTTGTTCAGGTAGAGTGGGAGGGAGAGAGACGAAGAGAGAGAGAGAGAGAAACATCGACATGAAAGGGACACATTGAGTGGCCGCCACCCGCACAACCGACCAGGGCCGGGGACAAACTGCAACCGAGGCACATGCCCCTAGCGGGAACTGAACCCAGGTCTCTCAGGACCGCAGGCCGATGCTCTAACCGCTGAGCCAAACTGGCCAGGGCTGACAGTGTTTTTCTTTTTAATGAAATCATTCTGCTTTATTTGGAATGCAAAGAAAACAGAAAAGCTCAATGAAAGAAAATAAAAATGGCCTAAATACCAATATTCAAGAATCACCTCTGCAGTGGATCCTTCTACTCTTTGTTCATGTCTATGTCATATAGAGATAGAGAGACAGATCGATTCTACAAAACAGGTAATATGTGTGCATACATACATCTCACAAAACTGATCACACAGCATATATAATTTGTAATTTTCTTTTTAAAAATGAAAACACACACTGGATGTACAGTTCATGCAACTGTTCACTTAATGTTTTGATAAGCAATGTCAATAAACATCATGGCACCTTTAAATTTGTATGTTTTAAACTACATAATTTTAACTCATCATCATATCATCTGACTGATCTCCACATGTTACACTGTCTCGTTACCATAAATAAGTCACACCTTTCAAAGGCCCCACATGCTGGAGAGAGAATTTTCATCTTTATACTTTAAACTTGGGTGCTGAGGACTGCCGATTCACATAACAAGCATGGAGAGACTATTCGGTGTCTGGGTACCATGGTTCTAATACTACCTACCACTTTTATAATCACTTTATTTTTTATAGAAATGTTTTTACACAACTTTAAATAGCTTTTTTACTAAAACTATTTTAAACAGCAACATTGCCAACAAGAATTATGCAAATGGGAAGCACTTGGCACTACATAGATGGTGTAGGGGACCCGTGTAGCAATGAGAGCTGAAGGAAGGAACAATGGGAACCAGCTCAGGTGGCCCCAATTATGGTTGCTCTATGCATGTCTGAAAATGATCAGGAAAGCCCTGAGTGTGCTGATTTTTGTATTACAAATAAATTTTAGCCTTGTAAGTACATATTCAAATATGGAATCCTGAGTAATGAATGACCTGTCCTTGCCTTTACTATCTATTTCCCAGCCAGTATCAGAGCAGTTGGATACATCTGCCACGAGGTGGCGCCAGACACTGACTAGTGTTCCAGCTCAGGGAGGCTCTCCCCTCAGAAGGAGCCTTTGCAATGCCTGTTTGCCTGTTTGATTTCAAGAGTTTTTTGTTTTTGTTTTATTTTTAAACATTTTGTGAGCCATTGTGAGAAAGGAAACAACAGGTAGCCAAAGCAAGCAAACACTTGGGAAGTATAAAGCTTAGGAAGTCTCACAGAGCTATGCAGTCACATTCTCAATCAGTTTCCTACTTGCCTGTTCACCTGGCACTTGAAAGCTCTGTGCAACTTCTGTCTCACAGCCCTCCTGGCCTGGGCCCCTGCTTTCCTCTGGATCACCTGACTCTGTGCAGTTCTTCCCCCCCAGGGCCTGCGGACACAAGCTCCGCGAGAGAAGGTCTACACCTGTGCGCTCCAAGGAGTCCACTGCGTCAGATGGCTGGTTTGTGTTTCTGATGACTTTAGGATGGGGCTGGGGGGAGAGGTGGGGGGGGGTGCTCATCTCAATTGATACCTGTCCCATTGGGCATTTTCTCCTTTAATTGGAATGGAAAACCCAAGGACTCGTGGAAAATTAGAGGCATGCACAGCAAGGAAGAAAACAGCTTAAGCAGAGTCAGATGTGGCTGCTTGTGGACAGGCATTCAGTGGGCCAGTCACAAAGAAAGAGAAGCAGGAGCTCATGGAGAAAGCAGGAAAAAGACAGAAGCCAGGTAGTGAGGCCCTTTTACTCAGCCACGTTATGAGACCGTGTCTACTTACTGACAGCCTAGGCTTCCTACCCAGCAGATGTTTAGGAGGTGGCTCTTGGGCTTACCTGCACCTTAACTTATCCCATTCTTCTCTGAAGTGCAGTGAGACCACCTGGTATGTTGGAAGCACCTGGATGCAGTGGTTTTCATTACTCCTGCCCTGTCCTTTGTTCTATTGTTTCCTCCAGATGTGGTACACAGCACAACATTATTATTTTTCCTGTAATAGTCAGTGTTTTTCTAAAGAAGTTCAGCCACGAGGGAATATCTTGTACATGTTCAACGTGGGCACCGTTCCGGCTGCTCTCACCTCACTGTGCTCTGGTTCCCACCCCACCATCTCCCTTCAGGCTGGAGAAATGCCTTTGACGTTTCTTGGTTGAAATTTTCTCTTTTTTCATTTGTCTCAACTTTGTTTGTAATTGCTTGTTGAAACAGTTGTTTGATGGCTGCGTTTAAACCTTCGTCAGATGATTCTGATATCTGGGTCTCCTTGGTGCGGGCATCTTACTTGTCTTGCATTCAGTTAGATACCTTGTTCTTAGTATTATGAGCATTTTTTAAAAATTGAAATCTGGACGTTTCAGGTTTCTTTGTATTAAGTTTGAGATCTCCATAGATCTCAACATTTTAGGGTGTGGTAAATTGATAGAACAAAGAGAGAACGTAAAACAAGAATTACAGACACATGAAAAAGTAGACTCTGAACATTTGAAAGCATGGTAAGTGGTTAGCTTTCCCGGGAGCTCCCATCCCCTGTGGTGGGTGTCAGCATTTCAACATCAGTGACACAGAGGGAAAAATAAAAGCCGAAGCAGCAATAGGATGGGTTGTTTGAACTGTATCATTATTTACTGTGGGTGAAAAAGCTGGATTTAGACACTTTTATTTCCTGATGCAGGGACTTGAGTCATATTGTGGCTGATCAGGCTAAGGGGCACGGAATAAACCAGACACCTTCTCATCCTTGAGATGTTCTCCAATCATCAACCAACATTTAAAAAACTGGAGCACCCTCAGACGTTGTTGTTAATATTCATCACAAAATGGATAATCTGGGTGATCAGCAAAACTAAAAGATAAAAGGGGAGGCTTAGTCAAGTAACTGTTTCTGGGTTCAGTAAAGAGAGGTTTAAGTACAAATATCAGTATAATTTTTTTGAGGTAAAAACCCAGCTAGTTTTATGATAGCCATGTACTGTTGCATTATAATGTAATAAATACACTGTAAAAAATAAGTATACTTACTTACACTTGAGCACCTACACAAAAATAAACCAATATATTCTATTTTTACAGGTATATTATTCTACAAAATAAGGAGATAAAACTATTGGTGTTGCTATTTTAAACTCCAGAGGGCAGAAATGAATTCTGCCTTTTTAAAAAATAAAGCTTATCTTGTTAAATATATAAAGTTAATAAATATTTCAAGATGATGATGAGGAAGGTGATAAAAATATCACGGTTGTTTTGTTTCTTCCAAGCACTCAGAATTAATTTACCTGTGGCTTTACTGGGTGGAAAATTATATATTATATCTAGAGATGAACACAGTGATGATAAAATAAGTCACTTCAACAGAGAGCTTCTAGTCAGCAAGAGAAGGAAATTCACTCTGCATACATAATCATTTTTTAAAAAGAAAATGCTAAGTCACTGAATAATTATTAAAGTTACCAATATTATTAAGTGTAACTACCTATTCCTCTACTCTCTCTTCCTCTTACCCTTCTATCATTTTGTTATATTATTCATTCAACCAATATTTATTGATTGCTCAGGGAAAGACTAGCTTTGGAAAAACCTGCCCTCAGATCTAACATTCTGTAGTAAAAAAATATATAACAACAACCAAATAGGTTAGTGAACTACATGGTATGTTCATGGATAGGTGCCAAGAGAGAAATAAATCAGGGTAGAGGGAGCAGTGCTGGGCAGGGGAGCATTTTTAGATAAAGGGGCAGAGAAGGTATTATGGAGGTGACATCTGAGTAAAACTTAAGGAGGTGGAGGAGTGAACATCCAGCCCCCTGGAGGAGGAGCATTCTAGCACAGAGAACAGCCAGTGCAAAGGCCCTGAGACAGGCCTGGCATGTGTGACAAGTACACAAGGGGTCACTAGGCTGCACTGCAGTCAGAGGGAGAGCAGTAGGACGTGGGGGCAGAGATGTGGGGAGGGAGCACTCTGTTGGCTCTTGTAGGTTGTCTAAGGAATTTGGCTTTTGCTCTGAGTGACATGGCAGACCACCAGGTACCACAAGGTGGGTGCCTGATCAGGTGCACTGTGTCACCCATTGGCTCTTACACTGTGTGTGGGGATGAAGTAGAGAAGCAGGGAGAACAAAGAGCTGACAGTGGCTTGACATTAATATGAGCATATTTAGGGTGTGTGTGTGTGTGTAAAGAGAGGCCCTTATCACGGGTGATATGTTTGAGATACTTATTAGACACCCAAGTGGAGTTGAGTGAATGGATTTATGTCTTGTTTCAGGGCCTAGGTCTGAGCTGGAAATAATTTTGGGAGATTCTATATTTAGATGGTGTGGGTGTAGATAGAAAAGAGAAGAGGTCTGAATTTAGCTTCAGGCCACTCCCAAGTTAAGAGGTCAAAATGAAGAGGAGAACTTGAGACTTGAGATCCTGAGATGGAGCAGGGAGCCAGCGGGGGAGGGGAGCAGGGCAGCCAGGAGGAAGGCAAGCTGAGAAAGCCCTGCCTGGAGGAGAGAGGCCACTGGGTGAAACCAGGTGAATGAGACTCCCTTCTGGTTTCAGCAAAGACCAGGCTGTGATTAACCTTGATGAGAGTGTTGCCAAAGTGGAGAGCAAATGCCTGATTTGTGTGGGTTGGAAAGACAGTGAGAAGGAGACCCCGAAGGCACAAGGGGAGCTGCCTCCTAGAACCTTCTCTGGAGCACAAGTGGGGTGTAGCTGGGGAGTAGGGTCAGATGGAGAGAGGAATTTTTTAAAAAGATGAACACCCATTTGAATGCCCCAAGGAATAATCTTGTGGGGAGGGAAAAACTGATGATATGAGCAGAGATGGGACTTCACGAGGTTTTGTTTAGATAATTAAGACAGGGAATATCAAAAGGGCAGGAGTTGAGGGAATATGAAAGGATGTTAATCAATTGACTGATCCGGAACTTAAGCAGCATTAGGACAGAGGGAACACGAGGGTAACAGTGGAAAGGTGGTCTGAGAGCTTGAAGAAAAACGACTCCCAACAACTCTCCCCAAGGAGGAGGGAAGAGGAGACTCTGCCCCTTGTGGACTGGAATACACTGAATTCCTTCAGTCCTGCCCCCAGTGTGTGCAATGGAACAAGGTACTTACGCAGTAACTTTAAAGTAGCGAAGGTTCCTGTTGAGGCCATCTAGTCTCTCCATATCCTGCGGTGTCAACTGGAAATCAAACACCTATGGGACATGGGAGACGATCCATCCCATGTCCCTGAGGCGGTACTCCTCACCTTCCACCCCCAGACACAGACACACAAGCTGAAGTAGGAAGTTATGGAGGTTTTATGAGATAATTGTCATGAACCTGGGGGTTATTTCCTGGCAAACGTCATGGGGCCTCTGCAGGCTGATAGTTGAGTCTGGCCATTGAGACTCCCTCAGAGACTTCCACGGGGTGGCTGTGCTTGTAGCACATGAATCCTAGAACCATTTGAGCCCAAACCTCTCACCTAACTCCTACATTTTACAGCTGAAGAAATGTAGGGATCATTTCCCCAGGACCATGCAATTAGGTGAAAAACTACGATTGAGCCCAACGGGTGTGGCTCAGTGGTTGAGCATCGACCCGTGCACCAATAGGTCACTGGTTCGATTCTCAGTCAGGGCCCATGCTCAGGTTGTGGGCCCGAACCCCAGTGGGGGCATGCAGGAGGCGGCCACTGGATATTCTCTCTCATCGATGTTTCTATCTCTCTTTCCCTCTCCCTTCCTCTCTCTAAAATTAATAAAGAAAATAAAATAAAGTCCAGATTGAAACAAAACCTGACCCTGTTTAGGGTTCTTTCCAACACACTTGCACCGCCCCCCCCCCACTCTGTAGCAGTTGGAGGGCAGTCACTTGATGCGTCCTTTTCACGTCGATGTTTCTCTCTCTCTCTCTCTCTTCTCTCCCTCCCAATCTATCTGAACAAAAAATGAAAAAAATGTCCTTGGGTGAGGATAAAAATAAATAAATAAACAGAGTTCAGGTAATGGCCAGCTTCTCCCTTAACTCTTCACCAACGACTCCAGTCGAAACCAACTTTCTTTCCTTTCCATTAATTGGTGATCTCCAAGTGGAGGTAAACCTCCCAAGAGGTACAAAATACATCTTTTTAAAACTCTTGTTTGTATTTTTCATCTAAAAATAATAAGGCTTACTAATATTTAACCTACGGATTGACCATCATCCTCTCAGATTGCATGGAAGACGTTGAAAAGGAGAAGAGATAATCCAGTGAGTGTGGGCCCTCCGCTGCGCAGACATGTGCCGGTCACGTCTACACTCCCAGTTTCTTTCACTATTCTCCAAGACAAGTAAGGGTATGTGTTGCTCATTAAAGTGGGTTTTTCTTAACAAGCAGCCTTCTTAATTAAAAAAAATATATATATGGTGGTAAAATATACATAACATAAATTTACCAGTTAAACTATTATTAAGTGTACAGCTCAATGGTATTAAGTACATCCACACTGTTTGGGAGTGATTTTGTACTATCAAGAGGTTGAATGGTTCTCATGGCACAGATCTCAAGAGTTGTTAGACTTAAAGATGAATCACCCACCTTCTTTTACACCTGAGTGTTCCAACTTCACTGGCCTTTTATGAGAAAATGGAAGTCAGTGGTCTGCTAGCTCTAAATTTTTAGCACCAATCACCATAACACCCAGCAGATTATACTTCGGGCTGACCCTTAGATGTTTTTTAAATAAAGTTCCATGGCCTTGGGAACTGTGACAACTTGAAATACATTCTGTTCTCTTGAAGCAGCTGATATCCAAAGTGCAGTACATGAGAGGGGGCCACTGGTGACTTGTGGACATGAGAAACATGTGAGCTGAAGAGGAGGGAGAAGTCAGAGGTGCATTGATGGGGCGCACCTGGTTGCAGACGGGCTTGTACTTGAGCCCTGGCTTGTTCAGGATCTTCTGCAGCTGCTTGGAGTTAAAGTTGGACACGCCAATGGACTTGGCCAATCCTGCCTCCTCACACTTCTCCAGGGCCTGGGGAGGAAGGGGTTGTGAGAGGTTATTTGTGTAACTGACTAGAAAAACATAATAACGGGAGCATGCTGAGAGTGAGGGTTGGGGATGGGAGAGAATATGAATCATAGTGGGAGAGAAAACATTTTGAAAGGTTCAGGGGTCTCCCTGGCCAGTTTGGCTCAGCAGCTAGAGCATCAGCCTGCAGACCAGAGAGTCTCAGGTTCGATTCCGGCCAAGGGCATGTACCTGTTGTGGTTTGGTTCCTGGTCCTGGTCGGGGTCACGAGGAGGCAACCAATCGATGTGTTTGTCTCACATCATGTTTCTCTCTCTCTCTCTCTGTCCCTCCCTCCCACTCTGAAAATAAATGGAAAAATATGCTCAGGTGAGGGTTAAAAAAAAATAAAGGTTCAGGTGTCAATAAGACAGGAATTGGCCAAGTGAGGAGAATAAAAAATAATATTAAAACAGGTAAGAAGATAAGAGAAAAACATGCAAGTGGCCAGGACAGAGCTAAAGGTGCCAGCATAATCATTAGCTGAACCACAAGAAAAGTTTGGTTGTGCAATGGCAAAACAAGCCCTGGGAGAGCAGGAAGCTGCAGCCTGGGGAACGGGAGGGTGGCCCCTGTTGCTCTTTGACCTCATTTCCTATGATTGGCCACAAAACTCCCTCTGTTCTAGTCACACCTGCCCTCTTGCTATTTCTTGAACATGGGAAATTCTCTCCCATCTTAAAAACTTTGCCTTGGCCTTCTTTTGGCCTGTATCTCTCTTCATCTAGATATAATCAATATAATCAATGCCCATAAAATCAATGTCCTCACTTTCTGCAAGTCCTTGCTCAACCGTCATCTTCTCCAGGAGGCCTGCCCTGCCCATTCTGATTATAATTGCCTATCTGTGTCCCAACCACACCCCAGCCCTGTACTCTCAGTTCCCACGGGTCCAGAGACCATGGTTCTATTCATTGACGTCACCTGAGTACTTACAAGTACTAAGTACTGGGTACACCAGGGGCACTCCATAAGTATTTATTGAATTATTAAATAGATGTATTGTGAAAACTGAGGCAAAGGGGAATTCAGAGACTTACCTGAGTCTACACAGGTGGCAGAACTGGACAAGGTCCACCTTTCCTGAGTTCCTGTCCGTCCTCTCTCCCCAAGGGACAGCAGCTGTACTCACCTCCCATGTGGCGCAAATATCCACTGTGTCAAAAATGGTTTTTCCATCTGTGTCCTTTGGGAAAAACTCCTCCCCAGGCTGGAACACAGGCAAGGAGAAGTACAAAGCTGTGTTTGGCTTCAGCAAAGCTGTTTGGAGCCTGTAGGTCTTGAGGATAATAGAACAATCTATCCTTTTTGAAAGGAATGTTAAAGTCAGGATAAAGGAAAAGGAAGGACATTGAGGAAGTAAACCTCCTAGAAATGGTTTTAACTGCTAAAGGTTTAATAAGTATTGTTTGTGTCAAAGACAGCTTGAGACCCCCAGGTCACCATTCTAGGTAGAGTCAGGGTGGAGCCAGGGCTCAGACAGCTCTTTGGTCCCGGCCCCTCTTCACCCCATTTTCCGCCTGGAGGTGGTCATATGACAGAGTGACCTGTCAGCATCACAGGGGTGAGTCTCATCCTCTTTGAATTTCCTGGATGTCAATTGACCTCCACAGTGGGACACTCCCCGGACACAGGTGGGCATGGGGTTTGATTCAGGAGCACGGGGCATCCACAAAATTGAGACAAAGCCAGTGAAAGAAGTAATCTCTTGTGTCTCTGGGGCTGAAATAGGGAACTGAGATGGAGACAGTTGCAGCAAAAAAAAAAAGTAAAGAGAATCTTAAACTATTAGGAATGCTTCTTCTCATTTTTATAAACTGTATCCTCTCTTGCATTCAGCTACAAATTTATATTGATAACCAAAGTAAAGTAAACTTTGCTCACCTTCAAAGCTGCTGGGAAATGAATGAGGAAAAGATCCACATAGCTCAGCTGAAGTTTCCTCAGTGATATTTCCAGGCCAGTTTGGACCAATTCTGGACGGAGAAAGGTGCTCCACAGCTGATGGTTGAGAGAGAAGGGGTGTGGGATTACTTCTGTAAGACTCTTTAGGAGACAATCATAAAATAGCAAATAAACATCAATAACCATAACCCACTTATAGTAGATGGGACATGACAAGTCACCCAGTGAGTCTCCTAAGTTCTGGACCATGATAGCTTATTTTCATACAGAATTAAGACAACAGTGTAGCAAATGAATATATGGTCCTACACATAATTCTCAAATTTTAGAATATAACAGCATTGTTTGGTTTGCTCATTAAAAATATATTTCTGAGTGCTATCTCCAAACATCACAAATTACAGTATCTGGAGACAGGGCTGGGAAATTGCATTTTAAATGAGAACTTTATTTGGGGGATAC